TCTCTACTGATTAGCTCCCATCTATCCCCTTTACAACTTGTTTATACAGAGCTATTTGCCTAGTGTCCCCCATTAGACTGGGAGCTCCTTGAGGACAAGGAACTGTCCTTTGCTTTTCTTTGTATCTACAGCACTTAGCCCAGTGTCTGGCATGTAGTAGGCACTTAATACATGCTCTTTGACACGGAGAAGGAAAGCAAAATGAATGAGACGCCCCAAGTCCTTTATCTTCTGGCTAAAAAGAGAGTTAGAGGGGCAGCTAGGTGGTGTAGCGGATGAGCACCGGCCCTGGATTCAGGAGGACCTGAGTTCAAATCCGGCCTCAGACACATAACACTTACTAGCTGTGTGACCCTGGGCAAGTCACTTAACCCCATTGCCTAGCCAAAAAAGAGAGAGAGAGAGAGAGAGAGAGAGAGAGAGAGAGAGAGAGAGAGAGAGAGAGAGAGAGAGTTAGACTCTGAGCTCCCTCCCAGCCCTAGCTCTGTGATCCATGGCCCTGGCTGTGTGACATCTCAGCCTTGCTTTTCTCTTCTGTAAAGTGGAATGATAATCTCTGCCCACAGGAGTTGCGAGGAAGGGGTTTTGCTGGCCCTAAGTCAAGAGAACAAACAAGTAATTATTCAGCTCTTACTGTGTGCCAGGCCTGGGCATCTTAATTGGGGTTGATAGAATGAGCGCCCCTCTGTCATGCGTTCCTCTACGCTGTCGCCCTCTGGGAATGCTTCTTATAGTAACAGGAAGAGCTGGTTTTCTTTACCATCGCCCTCCAACCCGCCCCCTCTTCATTTCTCTTCATCTTCCTTCCCTGCTGCTTACAGACTCGCTCAGCCCTCCCTGGTCCTTAGAAGCCTTGATTCTCTGGCAGGCTTCTCCTCGGGTGTCTGCCTTCTTCTCAGGTGTCTGCCTTCTTATGAGGGCTCTCTCCTCCCTTTCTTTCCCAGCGAAAACCCTAGAAAGAGTCATCTCCCTGTGCGTCTCCACATCTTCACCTCCCGCACCTAGAAGTCTGACTTCCCACCCTGCTCCTCACATGAAATTCCCCTCTCTGAGGTTATCCTAGGGCGCTCACCTGCCCGATCCAGTCCTCCTCTCTTCTCCTTGGCCTCTCTCTCCAGGGGGCCAGCTGACCACCCCCTCCTCAATATTCTCCTCTCTCTGGGTTGGGTTTTGTTGTTTTTTAAGATACTACTCTCCCCTGGTTCTCCTCCTGCCTGCCTGACCACTCCTCCTCAGCCTCTTTGCAGGGTCAGCTTCCTTCTCCTCCCCTCTGAGTGAGAGCTTGTCCCAAGACTCTGGCCTGGGCCTTCTCCTCTTTTCTCCCTAAATTCCTCTGTCTACATCTTGTTCTCACTTCTTCCCAGCAAAATGTAACTGGGTTTTTGTATCCCTGGTGCCTAGAACAGTGCCTGGCATGTAGTTGGAGCTTAATAAATGCTTATTGAATGAATGAATTTCATTTTCCCCTGTGGGTTTAGTCATCATCTCTATGGGGAGGGAATGAATGAATGAAGTGTTCGTTCAGTACTTACTTGTGTAAAGCGCTGAGGGGTACAAAGAGAATACAGAAGCCAGCCCCTGCTCTCAGGGAGCTCCCATTCTAATGGGGGGAGCAACACCTATGACTGCAATCTCATGGAAAAGCTCCCTGGTCCTTAGGATGCAGCTGCATAGCACATGGATGGGAATGGCTCTTCTCTAATGCCATGCTGACCTTAATGTCATTGTTCCCAGGGTGAGGGGCTGAGGGAAGATGGTGGCTCTAGGCTGGCTTGCCTGTTACATGCTGCCTCAGCTAGGCTGGCATGCCCGGCAGTTAGGGTATAGTACACTGACTTGGAATCCAGAAGAGCTGGGTTCAAATCTTGCCCCTTATGTTTACTCCCTCTGGGCATGTCATCTAACTTCCCTGAACCTGTTTCTTCCCACAAAATGAAAGAACTGGGCTCAATGGCGTCTGAGGGCCATTCCTGCGTCAGACCTGGACGTTCATGATTCCCAAGCCAACATACGCAGCTCTGAGTTCCAGTCCCAGGGTGTCAGATGCCTGCTAGCCATCTTCACCTAGAAGTCCCATGGCATCTCGAATTCAACACGGCCACAACATTATCCCCCCTCCCTCTTCTGTCCAGGGCAGACACCCAGGGGTGGGGAATCTGCAGCCTCCAGGCCACGTGTGGCCCCCTAGGTCCTCAAGTGCGGCTCTTCGACAGAATCCAAGTTTGGGAAGACAAAGGGCTGTGCTTGAGGACCTGGAGGGTCATGTATGGCTCCTGCTTGGACTCAACCTTCATTTTTCCCTCTCCATTATCTTCCTTATCTAATCATTGTTTATGAGGAGCTCTTTAAAGCCATGTATGCGTTTGGAGCTTCTCTGGGTACGTGGTGTGAGGTGCCAGTCTCTAGCTAACTTCCGCCAGACTGCCGCCTACTTTTCCCAACTGTTTGGATCAAACAGTGAGTCTTTACCCTGAGAGTTTACTGGGTGGTAAGCCACAGACCTACACATCTGCCTCCCCAGTGGAACAGAGGCCTCCCGAGGGCAGGGACTTCCCGTCTGTCTTTGTATCCACCCTCCAGTGCCAGACACTTAGGAAGCACTTCACCTGTCGTTCAGTGACTGTTACTCTGAAAGGCAGGAGAGCTCAGTTTGGACGCTGGATTTTCTCCTGATATTTCTGTGACTTTGGCTGAGCCTTTCTCCCTTCCTGGCCCTCAGTTTCCTCATCTGTAAAATGAAAAGGATAAACTAGATCATCCAAGGTGGCTTCTAGCTCTAAATTCTGTTACTTCTAGTCAATCAATCAGCGAGGCTTCATGGAGGCATTGGGAGCTTTCCTGTTCTCAAGGAGCCTATGCTGGACGAGGGGGAGACGATACAGGGAGGGAATGATGGCTAAGGACGGAGCTTCACTCTGAGGAGTCACAAAGATGGAGTCAAGCTGCAGGTGGCCAATGAGTAGTAACTTCCAGACCCATTGATCTGAGGAAACTGAGGCACAGAGAAAAAAAGTCAATCACTCCCTGCTACCAGGGCAGGAAGGTGTGGAGCCAGGAGGTGAGCCAGGTCAAAGGATCACAGCTTTAGAGGTGGAAGGCGACACAGAAGTCACTGAGTCTACCACTTTGGACTTTTGGGCAAGGAAACTGAGGCCCAGAAAAGTCAAGTGACTAGATCTAGGTCACATGAGCAGGAAGTGGCAGAGCTAGGACTTTAACCCATTTCCTTAGAGTTCTGCTCCTCCAGTACCCCTGTATCCCAGTACTCTAGTACCCTGCTACCCCCAGTACTCTAGTACCCCAGTAACCCTCGTCCAGGTGGGTCTTTGTGAAACCGAGCTGTGGCCAGCTCCAGTCGCCCAGCCCCCTCCACACGCCAGCATCGTAAGCAGAGAACATTTAAAAAAAATGATCTGGGGCCTGACTTCCCCAGATTGGCTGTCAGTATTGATTGAATCCATCAGATAACATCCCATCCCTTGACATTTCGGAGCCCTTGCCGATGCATCAAAGCACCAAGGTCATTTCTTCCCCAACGTTCCAAGCAGCAGGAGCCCTGAGCCCAGATCATGAATTTACATGCTTCTGACCCAGTGGCCTTAAAATAATGACTTCAGGAAGGACCTGGGGACAGGAGAAGCCTATTTTTTTATTTTTATTTATTTATTTTTTTAGAAGCCTATTTTTTAAAATAGATTTCCCCCAAATCTTAAAGACCAGATTAATTACAGCAGCCAATCTCATCCACTTCCACAGGACATGTCGGGGTCTCGTGGGGTTGGGTCCCAGGAAGTTGCAGTTTCTTTGCCAAGGCAGAATGAGCAGGGGGCTGGGCTAAGTCCCCAAGAGATCCGCTATTCCATGTGCTGCTGGGCAAACCTCACATGTCCCCTTTCCTTGGAAGGACTGCATGAAAAGAAATTGGAAAACATTTAAAGCATCCTCCAAGTTAGCATTTATACCAGAGGTTCAGAGAGGCGGAAGGGGCCTCAGAGATCACAGAGCCCAATCCCCTCACTTTACAGATGGGGAAAGTGAGGCCCACAGAGATGAAGTGACTTGCCTGAAGTGGCGCTATTATGGGATTTAGAACTAGGAGGGACTTTGACGTCAGTCCAAGACCTTAACTTTATAGATGAGGAAACTGAGGAGCCGTGAATTTTTTGCTGTTGATTACTTTTATCTATTTTTAAAATGCATTTTTATGGATATATTTTGTTTTTATATCGCTGTCTCCTTCTCTCCTTCTCAGAGCCCTGTCCTTTATAACAAAGAATAAAAGGTGGGGGGAAGCTATTCAGCAAAACTAACCAACATGATAAAAGTCTGACATTGCATGCTGTGTGCCTCACCTCTGCAAAGATGTGGGAAGAGATGCCTCCTCACAGCCAATCTCTAGGCCCAAGCTCGGTCATTATGATTCCACTTGTAGAGTTTTTGGTGGTTTCCATTATTGTAGGCCTCAGACACTTCCTAGCGGTGTGACCCCAAGCAAGTCACTTCACCCTGTCTGCCTCAGTTTCCTCCTCTGTAAAATGAGATGGAGAAGGAAATGGCAAACCGCTCCAGTATCTCTGCCAAGAAAACCCCAAATGGGGCCAGACATGATGGAAAACAACTGGACAACAATGACACGCATGTACACACGTATACATTTGGCACAGAGAAGTTGCCGTCCGCATTGCTGAAGGGCCTTTGCACACCAGGAGCTCTGCACACCTTGGTGGCAGAGTAGTTGTGCATCTTTATTGATGAGAACTTCATTCTTCACCATGGTATGGGGAACTTCCAGTGTGCAATCTCCCTTCAGCAGTACAGATCAGCCATTCCTCTGCCACTTAAGTCTTGGGTTTGCAGCAGATAACCAGGAGAAGGGAAGGCGAGCCCTCTCTGTCCCCTAGCGTTGGGGCAGGGATGGAGTTCCAGAAGTCCCCAGACCCTTCTAGTCTTGGGAGCCCTCCCTCATGGCTCTTTCCTTCTCTCTTCCCCCTCTCCTGCAGGAGGCCAGCGATTGACACAGCTTGGAGAACCGATCCAAGTGACCTTGGCCCGCCATCACCTTCCCTTGACTTGTGAGGTCACCTACCCCTACACCCCAGCCTTCACAAAGTACACGTTCAGTTACTATCACATTGACCTCCAGGGCAGGCAGAGCCCCCCTGTCTGGGCAAGCTGCAGTCAGACCCCGGGAGTCAAGAACATGACCCACACCGAGATGTGCTCCTTCACCCTGACAGCACTGCACAACGCTTCGGCTACGGGCACCTACTACTGCCTGGTGAAGTGGCCTTCCCACAAAGAGGCGGGCAGGGGGACCTTTATCTTGGTCCGAGGTAAGCTGTCTTGGCTGGCCTATAGCTCCCCTGGGTGGAGAGAGCAGAGGCCAAAGGACCGGCAGATTCAGGGCTGTGGGATCAACTTTGGAGTTCATCTACTCCACTACCCTCCCTTTACAGAGGTGGAAACTGAGGTGGCTGAGCTGGGACTCAAACCCAGGGCCCTTGACTCCAAACCTAGACCTCAAGGCCTGGGCACAAGGAGGATGCTCTATGAACTTGGAGTGCCAAAGAAATTGCAGCTGTGAGGATTTTGCTTCAGGGGCTGAGAGGCAGCATCCCAGTGGCCTGAGCGAACTGTCTTACCTCCCCCAACCCCTGCCTCTCCACCCAGGCTCCAAAAGCATCAAAGGAAGACCTGGGTTCCAATCCTACTTCCTAGCTGTGTGACCATAGATAGGTCATTAAATGGAGCTGAACAGCTTTCTCCTCTGTAGAATGGGGTGCTTCCCCCCTCCCCCAGCTCTTTCCTTGGAGGATTGTGGAAGGTGTCAGATGAGATGTAGGCTCTGACGACACAGATGTTAGCTGCTCTTTTGTAGAACGTCCCTCAGACTTCGGCTGGGTAAGGAGCGGGGCTCTCTAGAAGGGCAGCCTTCCCGCACCACCTGCACCAGAGCACAAACATGTCCTGTGACCTGCCCAGGGTCACCCAGCAAGGGTGTGGGGAGGGAAGATTTTAATGGGGGCCTTCCAGTCTCCAACAATCATAAGCCTCAGCTGGAAACCTTGACCTTGGGAGGTTTTCATGGAGAAGAGAGGAGGTGGGCTCTGGAAACCTTTATTTCACCCTGGACAGAGCCTGGCCCCCACTCTCCATTGCTGGCCCGGGGTCACAGACCCCACACTCCCTGATTCCACTTCTCTGCTCTTTCTGCCGTCCTCCTGGGCTAGAGTCCCAGCAGAACCGACCAGCTGGATGACTGTGGACAAAGCATTTGGCCTCTCCAAAGTCTTCCTCAAGTTCTAGATCAAAGATCTAGATTTCTCACCACAAAATAGAGCCAACAGACAGGCTCCTTCAGCCCCCCACCCCACCCCAGGCCAGTGTGAAGGAAGCTTGGGGCCACCAGGAAGCCACCAGTGCAGACCGTGAGTTCAGCCCTGTCCTGCTCAACATGTTCTCACAGATGCTGGATATAAAGAACCCCCAGAGAGCTCCAAGAAGATTCTCCTCTTCACCTTCACTGGTCTCCTGGCTGTGCTGAGCATCCTGGGAACTGGCCTGTTGCTCTGGAAGGCAAAGGTACGTCCTGGCACCAGGGGTTGAAGGCCAGGGCTAAGCTCCACCATCCTCATCCTCTCTCCATGCCCATGGGCATTCCGGAGGAGTCCAGGTTCAGGCCAGGAGGCACAGGGCCTCTCTCCCCCAAGGGACCGCCTGAATCACCTCCTAGACCTGGGCCAGCTCCCCACTGCCAGGAGGGGGGTGGGGGGTGGGAGAGAGGCTGTCTGGCCCTCCTCAGCTCTTCAAGTTTGCAACTATGGGAGCCATGTGGTGGTCCTTTCCTCACGGTTTTGTCATGGGATTGGAGAAAATCGAGAAGTAGAAAGGATCTGAGAAGTTCTCTGGCCCAACTCTTCTAGAGCACAGAATGTCAGGGCTAGAAGGGGCCTTAGAACAGGGAAGGTCAGAGCTGGTGGGGAGCTTAGAACAGGTAAGGTCAGAGTTGGGATGGGCCGTAGAACATGGAATGTCAGGGCTGGGAGGGGCCTTAGAGCAGGGGAGGTCTTATATTCTTCCAGGAGATGGACAAATACGGGAAATATGGGAAACACTCTCCTCACACTCTAGGCTCCCAAAGGGCAGGGTCCAGGCCTTACCTCTGGTTTATATCTGCCTCAGCTCCAAGCACAGAACTCTGACCGTACATGGGATGTTCATAACAGATCCACCCACTTGCCTCTCCCTCTAAACAACATTCCATACTGGCCGTGCCTGTCCAGGCCATCCGCCATGCCTGGAATCCTGCCCTTTCTCATTGCCCCTGCAGAGTCCTGGTCAGACTCCCTTCAAGTCTCAGCTCTGGGGCCGGCTGACGTTCTGACCCATCAGCCCCAGAATTCCCCTGGGCCTCTTTTGTGTTTATTTCTCGGTGTGCTGATTGCTTTTCCCAAGGGGATGTCCCATCTTTGTCCTCATAAGCCCAGCACACAGCTCAGTGCCAGGCCACCAGTAGATGTTTAATAAATGCTGGAAGGAGCAAACGAAGGGATGAGTGACTGGGTTCAGTAGGTCCTCCTGGCAGCTGCAGCTTTCTCCCCAGAGAGCCGGGGGCGCACAGGCCCACAGAACGCCCCTTCGCAGGTTCAGGCCCACAGGCTGTCTCGGGATGAGTGGCCTTTGAGAAATGGGGAGGCTCCTGGGCACTTACCTACCCTGTTCTTCTGTCCCCACAGAAACAGAGGAAGTCTGCCAAGAAGATCCCACATCAGAAAGACTCAGGCCCAGCTGGGCGCTCAGCAGACCCCACGCCTGTTAGGGCAGGCTCCATATACACTGTGAGTCGATCACTCCTGGTCCGGGCCTACCTCAACCTCCCTGCAAGTGGGCCCATTGGGGAATTTGTTCAACAGCCTTGAGGACGCGGGGTGGGGGGAGGCTCACGGGAGGGTCAATTAGGTACTCTGGAGACGTGCTAGGAATCTGTTCTATCCCCTCACATGACTGTCATAGGATGCTATTACATGGCTGCTGCTGAAGAGAAAGAGGCAAGGGGAAGGATCCCAAACTGGGAGAAAGAAGAGCTCAGAACCGGGAATGGCAGAGGTGGGAGGAGCCTGAGAACAGGGGAATGATAGCAGCTACCTCCCAGGATTGTTCTGAGAGTAAAAGGAGACATATTTGTAACAACCTTCCCTGTTCTAAGGCCCCTTCTAGCCCCGACATTCTGTGCTCTAGAGGAGTTGGGCCAGAGAACCTCTCAGATCCTTCCTAGTTCTCGATTTTCTCCAATCCCATGACAAGACCGTGAGGAAGGATCATCACATGGCTCCTGTAGTTGCAAACTTGAAGAGCTGAGGAGGGCCAGACAGCCTCTCTCCCAACCCCCGCCCCCCTCCTTGGCCAAACGTAGAGATTATTATTTAGACTTCTTATTCCCCTCACTCACGAGTGGCTTCTCTGAGGCCCCTCAGACTCACCCTCACAGAGGGGGCATTGCCCTACAGCCTCCTGCACCAATCACCTTTCCTTGATGATAAAATGGGAGAGAGGGGGGCCCCCATCGTCCTCCCTGCCAGATGCTCCTCTGTAGCTCTTAGGTAGCCGGGACTCAGGATCAGTCCTTCTCCGTGGTCCTGGAGTCTGGTGACTCAAGACCAGGATACCGTGCCCATCAATGCCAGGGGAGCTGCATATCACAGAGATATTGAGAGCTCTGTTCTGCCATTTCCTGGGAGAGGAGAGACCCACATCCTGTAGACCATCAGCTCAATCCAGGAGGATGGAAATTCTCTTCATAAAAATTCAGGTCAAAACCTGAATAAAAACACAGGTCCCAGAGGTCGCCCCTGGTCTAACCTCTTCTCTCCAAGCTGTTAATTGGCCCCTTGCTCATCAGACCATTAGCAACTTCTTCATCCCATCAGGGCCCAGAGAATAGGCTCTGGCCCCTGCCCCTGGAGAAAATCAGCATATGTAACAGACTTTAGGGGACCCCTACTCCCACAGCCGAGGAAGGGGGTCAAGCGGGGAAGCAAGAGCTTCATGGGGCATGGACTCTGGGCATCGTGGATTTAGAGCTGCAAGAGACCTCAGAGTCATCTGAGGAAACTGAGGCCCAGAAAGGGCTCAAGAAAAGGGTCTTGCTGCGGGCCAGTAGGAGAGCCAGGACTCAGGCCCCCTCAGGTTCTCAGTGTCTCCATGGCGATCAGCCCTGTTCCCAAGGGCTTTTAATGCTTGCACAACGCACGGTGCCCAATTGCCCTGTGAGGCAGGTAGTGAGTGTGCTATTGCCCCACGATACAGAGGGACAAACCAAAGCTCAGAGAGGGCACCCAGCTAGGGAAGAGGGCGAGTGGGATTTGAACCTAGGTCCAGGTTCTGCCCACAGTACGGTGCTGCCCTTCCTGGCCCCCTCGCTCTGAGGCTTATTGGAGGAAGGGGTGTCCTCTCCGCCCTTTGAGCCTCATTCCCTACTCAGCTGGGGCTTCTAGCTCTCACCTCCTCCACCTCCAGGGGTGTTGGGGGCAAACCTTAGTGCACAACGGAGACAAGGGCTAGAATTGTCTTTCTGTGCCACGGCCTTCCTTCGTGACCCCCACAGCCAAGATGGGCGCAGGTATTGAGTGCTTGAGGACTGACGCCTCCTTCCCCAGGATGCCCTGGGTAGAAGGGCTGCTGATTGACACCATGCTGGTCCTCAACATACCCTTCTGCAGTCAGACCCCACATCCCCATGCAGCCTCTTCCCAGCTTGTTTGTCTGGACTAGCAACCTGGTCCCACAGCCGTCTTCCCCCGCCTCTCCTCCTCTTCCTCCTCTTCCTTCTCCTTCCTCCTCCTCCTCCTCCAGAGATCCTGCCTGCCTGTTACCAGAGAAACCACCTCTTTGGCAACCCTCTCTCCTCCATGTGACTGAGGCACAGAGAAGTCCCCATCTCTCCCTTGAACTCATCCCAGTGTGCTGGCTCCATTCGCTCCACCCTGGATGGCGTCAGTGATCATGACTAGAGATGGCTGGACTGGACTCTCTCCTGAGCTCCCCTGGTGCTGAGGGCTACAATTCTGGGATGCTGTGTGTCCTTCATGGTGGCAGAGGTGGCCAGGACCTGACCTAACATCTCTGCCCTGCCACCGATTTGCTGTGTGGCCTTGGTCCAGTTAGGCCCCTTCTCTGGTCACTTGTTTCCTCTGCTGTAAAACAAAGGAGTGGGACGAGATGACTTTCTAAGCTCCCTTCTGGCTCCGACGTGCAGGCATTCCGTCTGCAGATGCCCGTGTCGGGGACCCCCGCACCATCGAGTAGAACCCGTGCACCCTCCCCCGTGGTCATCAACGTGCCAAGCAGTGGAGGAGGCTCAGGCCGTCAGAGCTCCTCAGGGCACCAGCGGTGGTACATGAGTGGCCTGCCAGGGTGCTCAGCCACTACAAACGGATGGATTTCTTCTGCTGGTGGTCTAGCATAACCCCTGTCCTGCCACCTGCCTCAGAATGGCTGAGAGAGAGGGAGGCAGCACACCGCCTATCAGCAGGCCAGCTATTACTGCGAGTATCACTGCTTTCCCTCAGATGAGCAAGGACTGCGGGGGATCCAGAGGGCAATGGGGAGACATGAGGTGAGTGCTAACAGACTACCGACCACAAGCCAAGCGGACTTCTTTGTGAGAAGAACTGTCAACAAAATCTTCAAGGACACAGGACCAGAAAGAGAGCTGGGCTCGTCACTTTGCGAGAGTAGCAGACAGGGGAGGCTTAGGACTGGACTCTGGTCATCCCCATCGGCCACTGAAACACCTACTGAAAGACCTCTGGCCTGATGGAGCCATTGTGGATGACCCATGGGTCACCCAGGATGAGATGGGTGGAGGGACCGCCTGGAGGAGGAGTCCATGGCCCAACAAAGCATGGATTTATCATTAGCGCTGGGACTGCTCGTGGTTCCTGGGATGCCGTGGCCAGCGAAGTTACTCAGGGCCAGCCTCTGGTGCGGGAGCTGTCTGCATTTGCCTGGGCCTTCCTTGAAGGATACACTAAGAACCTCTCACCAGACCCTGACGTAGGCCTTTTTAAGCTATTTCTGTGTTCCCTCTATACTGGACTAGCCTTTGGGAAGCCAGGGTGTCCCCAGCCATGATGAAGCAGCCCAGGGTCAGGGCTAGTGTCTGTCACACCCGGGCAAGCAGTGCGAGACGTGGAAATATCCCCTCACGTCACCTTTTCAGGCCAGAGTCAGGCAGGGGAGTAGGCAGAGACAGCGGGAACCAGTCCTTCTGGGCAGAGGCCCCAGGACACAGCATGTCAGTCTGCCATGGGGTAAAGGCAGGTTCACCTAAGATGGGGCAGCTGGAAGGGAGGAGGGAGATACCCACCCATTACTTCCTATTTTAAGTAATTATCTGTGATTATCAGCAATGATTAATTATCAGTAATTAAGTAATTATCAATGATTTCTATGACACTGAAATAGCGTAGGGGCAGCACCAGGCTTGGAACCAGGAAGACTCTTCTTCCTGAGTTCAAATCCTGCCTCTGACTCTGTGTGACCTTGGGCCAGTCACTTAACCCTGTCTGTCTCAGTTTCCTTATCTGTAGAAAGAGCTGGAGAAGGCAGTGGTAAACCACTGTAGTGTCTCTGCCAAGAAAACCCCAAATGGGGTCCCAAAGAACTGACAACAGCAAAATAGCATTGGTGTAATTAGAGCCCTCTTAGTCCAGCACCCTGGGGCAAAGGCCTGAGTGCCCCACCCTGGTTATGGGAATCAGCACTCTAGCTCGCACATATTTCCCAATCTAAAGATCCGCTCTGAGTTTCAGGTACTCTGTAGACTGCCACGTGCCTTCGAGGATAAGTAGCCATGGGGCATATCTCCCACAGACGTCCCCACCATCAGAGGCCCATTCCTAGGGGACAGTACTGTACATGCATTATCTCTTTGGCTCCTCAATCAAAATCCTGGGGGGTAAATGCTGTGAGATTATTCCCCTTTTTCAGCTGGGAAAACTGAGATTCATTAAATGACTTGCTGAGCGTCACAAAATTGTGAAGCATCTAAGGCAGGATTTGAACCTCGGGTTTCCTTTCAGCATGCTCTCTCTGGGCCTCAGTTTCCTTCCCTGTTAAAATAGAGAGTGGGGGAGATGACGTCAAACATCTCTTTCAGGTTGAAATCCTGTGGTTCTGAGAGCCTGTAGTCGCCAGTGAAGAGTGGATTGAAGTGACCCAAAGGAGGGGCGGGAGGTGGGAAGACCCGGGTGGGATCTCGGCCCTGGACACTGGGCCACCCCTGGGAAAGCCGAGCATCATTCCCTGCTTCACTGATTCCTTCCTGGGCGGATCAGCCTGCCCTGAGCACCAGGGACATCGGGTTGTGGGAGGAAGGATCCAGAGAGAAGCCCTGGGTTCTGTTCCTCTCCTCCCTTCCCTTCGCTTCCCCCCCTGCAGGCTCTTCAGCCCCACCAAGCCGAGGTCTATGATTGCCTTCAGAATGAAAGCAGCGTCCCTCCCTCTGAATGGAGCCCACCAACTCAGGTACCACCTTTGTATGAAGCTGTGACTGATGCCAGGGCTGGGGGGCGGGGCTGGGGTGGAGAGGCAGAGGTCAGCAGCTGCTGCCAATGACCCTGAGGAGGGCACCAGCCTTTACCATGTCCCTCCCCTCCCCCAGGGTGCCCAAAGGAAGAGCGAGGCTAGGCTGCTGGACTGGTCTTTCTAAATTGTCCTTTTAAGTTAAAGTGCCAGGCCTAGAATCAGGAGGACCTGAGTTCAAATTTAACCTCAGATCTTTACTGATTGCATGACCCTGGGAAGTCACTTCATTTGTCTGCCTCAGTTTCTTCACCTGTAAAATGGGGATAATAATAGCACTTGCCTCCCAGGGTTATTGTGAGGATGGAATGCCGTAATCATTATAAAGTGCTTAGAACAGCGCCTAGTGACTAATAGACTCTTGTTCCATTCCCTCCCCCCCTCCCCCATCACTTAAATGCCTGTGGCTGGAACAAGAAAGTTCATCTAATGAGGAGTTATTAAACCCCTCCTAAGAGAAGCCTCGATGCCTGGGAGGCGGAGGACCTCCCACATTCACTCAGCCCTGCGAGCCCCGGCTTCTCATCTATAAAGTGGGGTGACAGGAGAAACGTGGCCTATCTCATTCAGGTCTGATGAGCCCCCCGTGAGACCACGGATCTCTCTGAAAGCTCTCCCCTGAGGCCCCTTGGTCAGGAGGACAGCCGTGGCTCCGAGGCACCGGGACCAGAGACTTCTCTGGCTGGATGAGAGAGGCTCAGAGAGAATTGGAGCAGATCTGATTCATGCTTCAACTGTAGCCGCGCTACAAAACCAAGCCTCCAGCAGTTTGAGTGCATATTCCTCATGAGTTCTCAAAAGAGTCCCCTCTTGGAAAGGACTATTTCCCCATTTCTAGGACACAGAATGTCAGAGCGGGGAGGGGCTTTAGGACAGGGGAGGTCAAGGCTGGGAGGGGCCTTAGAACAGGGAATGGCAGAGCTGGGGGATGGCTCGATGTAGTAGAAAGAGATCTGGCTCTGGAGTCAGAGGACCTGGGTTCAAATTCCATCTATGCCACTTACTACTTATGTGAAAAGTCACATAGTGACAAAGAGCAAGTCATTTAATCTCCCTGGGTCTCAGTTTCCCCCTTTGTCCAACGAGGGGGTCGGCCACTGAGGTCTGCCATCTATGACCCATGTGCCATCTATGACACAGACTGTCTGAGCTGAGAGGGCCTTGTCTAGCTCACCAGCTCCATTCTCCAGCTGGGGAGAGGGGCCCCCAGCCACATAGTAGCTAAGGACAGGCCTAGGATTTGAATGTACGTCCCTCGGCTCCCGGACTCAGCCTCATTTCACCGGACTGTGTATCCTCCAAGCAGGACTGGGTCATTTCCAAGGCTCTTCTCACAGCTGTGCAGATTCTAGACTGAAAGATGCATGAGAGCAGGGACCAAGTCTTACGAAGAGGTTCTAAGTCCCCCAGTGTCTTCCCCGTCTTTTCACTCAGTAGGAGTAGGTGCTGAGGAAATGTTTGTTGATTGAATGAATGACTATTTGAACTGATAGCAGTTCACCACTTATTCAATGCCTTCTCTATACAAGGCCCTGTATGGAGACGGACCCTGCCCTCAGGGAGCTTCCAGTGTGATGGGGAAATGAAGATGGATACAGATCCATCTTTGTAGAAAACACGGTAGCACAGGATACTGTATAAGAGAAGTCAGAGTGACCTGGGAGATTTTTAGGATAGAGAGATGATGTCCTGATGAGGAAATCAGAGAAGGCTTCCCAGAGGAGGAGGCCCCTGGTTGGACATCTAATCCAGCCGTCTAATTTTAGCAGACAATTGAGGCCCAGAGAGTGATTGCCACAAATCCACACCATGAGCGATAAAAATGGGATCAGATTCTGGACCTGAGCCAATGAGGCAACCTCAGTAAGAAACAGAGGAGGGTCAAGTTCAGAAATAAAGTTGGTTTCCGTTTGGGGTACCCACGTGGAGATGTCCATCATGGTTGAAAATTGCCCGGAATTAGAACCCTAATTCCATCGGGCCTGGAGTCAGGAAGACCTGAGTTCAAATCTGGCCTCCGACAATCACAAGCTGTGTGACTCTAGGCTGGTCCCTTAACCTGTGTTTGCCTCAGTTTCCTCATCTATAAAATGGGGATGATAATAGCACCTCCCTTCCAGGGTGGTTGTGAGGATTGATTGAAATCATACTTGTACAGCACTTGGAGCAGAACCTGACACATGGCAGGTGCTAGTAAAATGTTAGGTACCATTACTGTTAACACTGGGGCTATTCCCATTGCACAGATGAGGAAGCTGAGACTCAGAGAGATTCAGGGTTACACAGTGTCACGTGATTCCAAGGCTGGCAGGTTGTCCCCGAAGCCCCTTTGGTGACTTGTAGCCCCCCCCACTACCCTCTGCTCCAATGTCAAACCCCCCCCCACACACACACCAGAATCACTCCTTACGAGAGCCACTTCTCTGCAGATTTTGGACAGACACAGCTTCCTAAAGTTACTCCATTTGGCAAACTAATATTTCTCCTGTTTTTTTGTCTTTGTTACCATTGCTTGTTTTGAAGACACAGAAGCAGATGGGAGTGGAAGAGCTTAATACCATCTATGAGAATTTCTAAAGAAGGTCTCATCATGGCTTCCTTCTCCTTCTCCCCACACTCAAGGATGTGAGGCTGCGTCACGCCACGCCTGGGACTCAGCTGCTGCCGCTGCTGTATCAGAGATGGAATGGGAGCTGACCTCCCCGAGCCCCTCTCCAGACTGCTCATACGTCCAGTTGTCATCCAGGATACGGCCCAGGTGCACTTTGACTTCCCTCCGAAGACCCCGGAGAGGGTGGATTCTCCTCTCCCTCCACTCTCCTTTCCCCTTCTCAACTTTCCCAGCCCCCGAGGAATCCCATGACTTCTCCCACATTGAGCTAGGAGGCATCTACATGGGCAGCCTCTTACCATCTCATGCTATTGTTTCTACACACAGCCTCCTACAGAGGAGTCAGGAGTCTCTGAATTCTCTGCTACTTACTGTGTGACCATGAGCAAATCACCCAAACTCTCTGAGCCTGGGCTTCCTGATTGGTGGAATGGGGATGGTGACCCTGAGCACGCTTCTCTCACAGGCTTTGTTTTGACTCGAAGCAGTCTGGTGGAATGGTTAAAGTGCTGGTCCCAGAGTCCAGAAGGTCCGTGCCTCTGACACTTACTGTGTGACCGTGGACAGGTCATCCAGTCTCTCTAAGCCTTATCTATAAAAAGAGCCAGCATCTGGGGTCTCTTTTGACCCTAAATCTATTATCCTCTGACCAAATAAGATAGTGAATGCAAATGTACCTTAAAACCATAGAAGGTATTATTAATAATGCTATTAATCCATTTGTCTAGAATCACAAAGAGCTGAATCATATTGTTGGTAGAAGGGTCATAAATTCCATTTTATGGCCATTCTGATCACAAATTCCATTTTTTTCCCTTGGGAATCATGATGTCCAGGTTGCACATAGCAGTGGCATGTGAGGAGTCTCCAAGCAGTATCGGGTTTTGAAAAGTGTTGGGGAAATCTGGCTTGGACGAGACACATGAGCTGGGGGCTGAGAGCAGTTAGCTGAGAAGAAATGGGAAGACAATTCTTGCGGTGTCCTCAGAGCCTGGGGGCAGTTAGGTGGTGATGAGTAGAACACTGGGCCTGGAATCAGAAAGACCTGAATTTAAATCCAGCCTCAGACTTTCGCTAATTGTGTGACCCTGGGCAAGTCACTTCACCCTCTTTGCCTCAGTTTCTTCATCTGTAAAATGAGCTGAAGAAGAAAATGGCCAACCACTCTAGTAACTTTGCTAAGAAAACTCCAAGTGGGGTCATAGAGAGTCGGACACAAGTGAAAATGACTGAAGGACAATAAGCTGAGAGCCAGCGCTCCCGCTGAGCCGGGGGGTGAGTGACAGCCTATGTATGGTTCATTGATCACCCAGTTCCAGGGCTAAGCAGTGTTGATGAGCCTACAGTTCAATATTGGGTTTAGTTCCCTAGAGGGACAGTGAGTTTCCATGTCACTCCTTGGTGAATGACTGATACATACCCTTCCTGCCAAGTTAGTGATATAGTGTGATTAATCAGACACTGAGATTAGTGTTCCCTGGGAGACAAAGGTGGGGGCAACAGAAATCTGGAAATGGGTGCCAAGAGCATTTACTATCTGATTTAATTCCCCGTTATTGTCAAGTTATTCTGTTCCATTAAATGCTTTTGCTTTAAATTCGTTGTTATGTGGTCTGGTCTTCTAAAAGAAGCACCAGTGGGGGCTCATGAGCCATGAATTTGAATTGGTGGTTACCCCAACAGTACCATGGTCTTGAGTGTAGCTGAGAAGAGGCTATCCTCAGGGGGCCTTGAGGCTACATTATAACTACCCCCTTATTACATTATCTAGGCTACACTATTGTAATCTCTAATCTCCCTCTGATAATGCCGCTTCTCTCTAATGATGCTTCAGGAAGATTTGGGGGAGGGCAGGTTCGTGCTTTAGATAGATACATGATTAGGAGACCTCTGAGGTCCCTTTCCAGCCCTGTGTTTTATGATCTCCCTTCTTAAGACTCTGTTGGGGGATGGCTGAGGTAAGCTTCTCATTAATCAAACCAAGAATCCTTTCTCTCTACTTCAAGATTCTTCCCCACTCTCCCTTCTACCTCCATGGGCCTGTCCACTCCCTCTCCTCAGTCATACCTGCCCCAAGGTCCTTTCATCCACTCGTATCACTACATATCACCAAGAGTTATCTCCTTCCCACCACAAATCTCTTCCACTGTGTTTTCTGGGATGGATTGGAGGGAGAAGCCCCACATATACTCAAATATCCAGAGTAGCATTTTTGCGGTAAAAAAATATTAGAAACAAAGTGGGTGCCCATCCGTTGGGGCACGACCGAACAAGTTGGGTATCTCACTAGGATAAAATGTGATTATGGCGAATGGAATGATGAGTGCA